TACCATATAGCATCTGAAATTGCAAGTGTCAAAAATAGAGCAGGCATCAAGCCCGACGGTGGCACTTAATAAAAACTCACATCACTTTCCTTTCAATTCCATCTTTCAATCACTTACATTTTGAAAATGAATTTAGTGCTCAAGAACAGTGCTGAAACTGACAGACAGAGCAAATGAAATCTTATCTACATGCTAGCTACATCTTGGGCAACTATAGTGCCATTGTCCCCATGCTGCCCCTTCGATGTGCCCTTACTCCTGCCTGGCAGAGGAGACCCTCATATGTAAGAGGGTAATTGGGCCTCTCCTGTTGTGTAATCCAAGAGTCCTCTGAGACTGCCAGATTCAGCCCAGTAATTTTCATTGTATGGCAAAGTCTTGTATGCAGTTATCAGATGGTAAAATATTAATGTAATTATTGATCATGATTAAATTCATACCAGTGACTTAAGGGTAAAACACTTTTCACCCATTAGAAATCCCCTGAGCCACCTTAGTTTGCTGGAAAGTCTTATTTGATTTATCAAATAGTAAATTTAGTATTGATGTCATTGGTAGAAAATCAATTTAAACTCAGACATGTCTCTGACTGAGAACATTCACCCCACTTGTGATATGAAGCTATGGAAATGAAATCAGGATGACCCTGCTAGTAAATTCAAATCTTTGGTAAGTCTTAAAAGTCTGCTGAAATATAACAGACAATTCTAAAGCATCGCAAATTTTAGAACAAGGTGCAAGTTTCTCCCCACAAGAAGGGTACGTCTGCACCACAGCGCTATTTCGGGATACTTCCAGTATCCCAAAATAGCTATTCCGTGTCTTGACAGTGCACCCGTTATTTCGAAATATCTTTCAAAATAACAAGCACATTATTCCAACATCCCTGTAAACCTCGTTCCGCAAGGATTAAGGGACATTTTGAAATAGAGGTTTATTTTGAAATTTGGCACTCAAAATAAGCTATGCTATTTGCATAGCTCAAATTGTGTGGCTTATTTCAAGCTACGGGTGCAGTGTAGACGCACTCTAAGAGACTTCTCATAGGGTTTCCTCAACATCAGCCACGAAAATGATTTCACATGAAATAATAGTGTGGCCACAGTAAAGAATCTAGGCAATATTTTGTGGGAAATAAAGTGTTGGTTCTTATAATGTGCCTGGCACATAGGTATAGTCTGTTGATGTATGGTGTTTTATGCCTTTATTTAGTATGTAATACTATAAAACAGAGTTTTTCTTGCTTATACACAATGAAAGCTGGATCAAATTTGTATTACTTCAAAAATAGCTTTTCATGATTGTTTATTGTATTTGTTCTAAGACTAGCTAGCCCCTCCGACGCGTCACACCACCATGGCCATGCTCTGTTTTTAGGGTGCTGTCTCATTCAGAGCTCACTCGGGTATTTCTCCTAAACCTGGAATTTACACTATTTGACTCCAGTGCAGACATACCTTAAGCCAGTGTCTTCAACCTTTTTAACCATAAGATTACTTTCTTGATTTAAGTGTAATGTAGGATTTACCCTCGCCCCACTTCCTTCCTGCCCCTGCTCTGAGGCCCTGCTCCTGCTCCATCCCTCCTCCGAGGCCTCATTCACTTTCACTAGGCTAAGGTAGAGGTGCAGGCTCTGGTCTTGGGCCAAAGGGTTCAGAGCGGGGGAGGAGATTGAGGTCTAGGAGGGGGTTCATGGTGCAAGCTCTAGGTAGAAGTTTGGGTGCAGGGGAACTCACATCTGGAGCAGGAGGTTGGGTGCAGGAGGAGGTTCAGGGCTGGGATAGGGGTTCAGGAAGCAGGCTCTGACTGGGTACCACTTAAATGAGATGGCTTCTGGAAGGCAGGCTTACTCCAGCTCTGCACCACCCCTGAAAGCGGCTGGCATGTACAGCAATGGCTTTGTGGTATCATGTGCTGCCCTTCATCTACAAGCACTGAGCCCACAGTTTCCCATTACTGATCAATGGGAGCTCCAGGAGCAGTGTCTGCAGGCAAGGTCAGGATACGGAGACTCCCTGCTCTGCCTGTCTCAGGGGCTGCCAGGACATGCCAGCCACTTCCAGGAGCAGCAATTACCACAGGAATGATGACTCCAGCCACGACAGGTTAGACATTTTAGAACTCACCACTCAAAGAGTTAAATTGAAGCGTAAGGGAGAAATGAAAGTTATGAAATGCACAGACCAGTCAAAACCCAAAACTAACTCACTTTGCAAGCAGTAAAAGGAGTAACAACAACCCCACACGTATGTGTTGTGTCGGGAGATGAGAGGGAAGGACAGTGTGTTTGTGACAATGACAGAGACACACACAATGTGTGAGAGTGACAGAGATTTGCATTGCCAAATTCCCTCCATCCCCCTCTCTCTGTGCAGGATGGGGGTAGAGGAGTGGGGGGAGGCGGGACACCATGACATCAGCACCCCCTCCTTTTTTCCCTCCCATCCCCTGTACAGCAAGCAGGAGGCTTCCAGGGGTGCGGTACCAAGGCAGAGGGCAGGAGCCGCATGACAGTGGGTGATAGTTTCCTGGCCAAACCAGTCAGGAACCCCTGTCAGAGGCTTCAAGGTCTACTGGTAGATCCTGATCTACTGGTTGGTGACCACTGCCCTAAGCAATGACACATTATTTGCCTAAACCATAAATATTTGAGCTCTGAAGGAGAAGAAATCCAATCCCAATCAGGGCAGGATTAAGCGGGGGGGCTAGCTGGGCAGCTGCCCGGGGCGCCAACCTATGGGGGAGTGATTGTTAATAAAATAAAAGATTGATTGGGCACTGGAAGTGTAAAACGGTTGTTGCCTGAAAGCTCAAAGAGATGGGTGTTTCATGTAAGTTGTGAATGTGACCAGGTTTATAGTCACTTTCAGTTCATTGAGTTGAGGATTTCCATAGTTCAGAGTCCCAAGTTATCCCTTTTGTCTGTAATTTTATTGTGCCTGTGGAACCTACCTATCGTTGGAGACTGCAGTCAGAGAGTGAAAGAGCAAGAGAGAGAGTGAGTGAGTGAATGAATGAATTATCTCCCTGGCACCAAAGAACAAATCATGAATCAAGACAGAGACTGACTGTGGATCTGTGGATTCACGGGGGAGACAGTGCAAAGCATTGTGAGGATGGGTTACTGTGCCAGGGTGTGGTTGTGTTCTGAACTAGCAGGAATTTTGCAGGACATAGGGTTTCCTGCCTTGATATTGAAAATCATAGTAGTGGGCCCTGGAGTTATGGGTTCATGGATTATTGTGGCCACATCTGTCTCTGATATGCTTAGGAGGGTCTTCTAGAAGTTTTTTGCTTTCTTAACTACCATTGGGGTAGGTAGGTATTTCCAAGACCTTAGAGCCCATGCCTTCAGCGACTGTTATGGAAGAGGAAAAAAAATCAGAACACTCCCCTCTTACCATCAGCATCAAGTCAGGCATGCCTGGGTTATCCTTCAACAAAGTGCTCCTTCTCCTGGAGCTGATGTTGGAGGCTCATATTAGGCCTCTGACATATCACATTATTTACTCTTTGACATAAAAGAGGTATACAGATGCGTGGTGCTAACATTCTGCTAGCACTTCAGCTTGCTAGCTTTTCCGGTAATTTTATTGCTATTAAATATGATGTGGGAGAGGACTGAATACTTGTGAATCACTTTAATCCATAACAAACACTACAAATCAAGTGCTGGCAGCCTTTTATGAAGAAGATGAGTAAAGTTAGGTAAAAATAATCCATAGACACATAGAGTGTTATGTGTGGGCAGTAATTTTACTATGAGATGTAGGTTTTATATCACCCTCCCTACCCCCAATTTCAAATGCTGCATGCTGTTGCAAAACATCACTTTTTTTTTTTTTTTTTTTTTTGTAATTAACATTGTTTATGCCTGTGCTGTTTTAAATAGGTGCTGTCTTCTGGGATGTATTTCAAAGGCTGCTTTAAATTCTTCCAAGCCATTCAGGAACTTTTAGTTTTATTTTTTCTGTAAAAGCCTTGTGTTCCTCTCCCCCTGCTCCCTTCCCCCCCCCCCCCCCCAAAAAAAAGTATTGCCAATACAACTGCAAAAATTCAAACATTTCTGAGGCAGAGCGATTTCCAGATTTGAACAATGCACACAAGCAGCTTTCACTTCTAGTATGCACCAGACTGTCTAGTTTTAGCATATTTCATATCAAGATGATTCGTATTAGATTAAATACCAGTCTCTCCAGCCAAGATATTATATTTGAAAGAATATGTTCTGAACTAAACTGCCCACTTCCTTCAAGTTACAGTAGCAGTTCATATAAGCCTTAATTTTCATCCAGTCTTTGTCAGAGTTTTAATGCTTAAAACCTCACTCGTGTAAATTTATAAAATAGTCAGGCTGCTTCTGTTGATTGATATTGATCTCAGCCAGTGAGATTCTGCATGGAAACAACTGTTGGCCAGCAAACTGCCAAGTGCAGGACTAGGGTTTATATCTTTATTGACAAGTACAGCTGGTTACAAAAAACCCTCAAATCTTCCTTTGACAAACAGTGGCTTTTTGACCTTAGTGAGAAATTTTGTTTTCACCATTTTTCAGGTTTTAATTGAAAAACCCAATCTCCAAATTTTCCAGATGTAGGTATTTTCCACAGTCTTTTCCGTCTACCCCCACTCAAAACCCCACCACTGAAACAAGAGAAAGAAAAGGGAAAATGGAAGGGAAATGTGGAGGGAGCCGACTGGAAAAAAAAGAGAGAAATGTCAGAATTTCAGGAGGAGGATATTAAAAGTAACAGAGGCAAATGTTTTGTTAGTTTTGAAATTTTTGTACTAAATACCATTTGTCTACAAATTGTACTGAAGATTTAATTTTTCACTAAATGTTTTATGTTTACTATTCATTGATATCCCATGAGGATGATAAGTTTTCTATAATTTCTTTGTTGAAATTTAGTCCACTATCTTGTATGTGTTTCCAAAAATTTCCTCCTTGCTATTAAGAAACGATACTGTATACATGTAAATGCAATTTCTGTGTGCAGGTATTACCACTGTATTGACCATGACAACACTGAGTACCATTGCAAGAAAGTCTTTACCTCGTGTCTCCTACGTCACTGCCATGGACCTGTTTGTGACCGTATGCTTTTTATTTGTCTTTGCTGCTCTGATGGAGTATGCAACCCTCAACTACTACTCGAGCTGCAGGAAACCACACTGTACCAAGAAGAAAAAGTCGGTAAGATGTGGTCACCTAAGATTATTATTGAAGGGTATGGAGCATAATCTTCCTCACAGCCAATATTGGAATGTTCCATCCATATGCTTTTACAAAATGCCACCACTTTGCCCAAACCCTCCGCAATTCTTGATCATCCTCAGAAAGCAGGTGAGAAAGAAGTTGCTGTAGGCACCAGGCATGCTGCTGCCAAATACAATACCTTCCACAGCTGCCAGGTGACCCTGCAGCATCAACAGTAGCTGCCCTTCCTTCTATTTCTTTCCCTGCCTTTCAGCTGCGCAGATTAATGGAAAGGAAGTTGGCCTCCAACTGAAAAAACCTGGAGGCGCTTAAATGGCACAGATCCCTTGCTCGGACCCAGTTGCAAGGATTTTCAAAAAAGGCCTTGGGCAGTTAAAGTGGGAGAATAGGCTGCTAAGCTGAGGGAATCAGGCACTGTGGTAGTGAGCATGAGTATCTAGAAGAGAAGGTTAATGTAGGCTTGGGGGGGTTGGTGCACATCTCAGGGAGTTCAGAGAATGACAGGCTGCAGTAGGGATGAATAGTGAGTGAGTACATCTGTATGGGAGTGCAGAATGGGGCTTCAGAGATTGAATGTGTACATAAGATATAGGGAATGAAAGGTGGAGGTATCCTTGTTTAGGGGAGTGACAGAGTAAGTGGTGGGTGTGAAAAGTATGAGTACCAGTGTTGCGTGGAGATGGTGCTGAAGTAAACATGTGTGAAGGTAGAAGTGATAGCCATGTGTATGGATTGCAGAATCTAGTATGGAACATATTTATCATGCACTGTTCAATGTATCACCTGCCTCCTCAAAGAAATAATCTCCCCGGATTTATTTAAACCCAAACAATCACAACTTATTTTTAAACCAACCTGCCACAGAAATGATTCCTTCTTCCTCTTCTCCTCTCCACTCCCTGTATGAAATTTTCACTAAGAAATTATCACTGTACGTGGCCCGGGTCAGACAAGTTTCAGTCCTGCACCCTTAACAGTTTTTCCAATTACATAAACACTTCTGCTATGAAGTCTGTTGAAGGTTGGCTCTTCGTGTCTAGAAACCTGAGCCTGATACTGTTCAAAAAAGTTGATTCCCAGTTCCCTACCACTCCAATGGGAACCCACATTTGCCCCTAGACCTATAAGTAAATGAAATAGTGAACTTTAAAACAGTCATTTTTAGGCTCAGAAAACAGCGTTGGGTCTTTTTAATGAGTTTGTTTCTTTCTGAGCCCAGTACATTTGGACTCATGGCAACAAAGCTCCCCCCCCCCCCCCAAAAAAAAAACACCTAAAATAAACTGATCTTAAATATTTTCCCAGGAGAATGTTTTGTTCACTTTTATGAGATGTTTCTGTGGAGTAAAATGCAAAATTCAGAAGACAAGCAATCAAAGGGAGAAATAATCAAGAGGAAACTGAGGGACTATAAGTAGCTCAGTCACTCTAACTGTTTAGTGGGAAATAGGAGTCAGAGAGGTTTAGGGAAGTTTTGGTTTGTTTCTCCAGGCTGGAGAAAGGAAACATGTTCATTTGAAATCAAAGATGTGACACATGAGAGTAGAGAGATTGAGAAGAAGGGAATTAAAGTGAAAGCTCAAGGGAAAAGAGGAAGGAGAAGACAGGATTCAGGAAATAGGTCACAAGTGGAAAGAGAATAAAAGAAAGGAATAATGGGGGAAGGATGAGTTGAAACTAGAATAATAGCCAAGAGCCAATCCTGTGAAAATTCCTTTAAACTTCTAAAACAGGCCTTATAAGTATATGTTGCATATAAAAGGAGAAAATGAGAAGGGAGTCAATGAAAGGAATTCTATCGCAAGCTAGAAGTGAGCTGGCTTTGAGCAAATGGAAAAGATAATGGTGTGGAAAGGCTGAAGCAGAAAACAGGAAGTTATAAGGAGGACATATTTAAAGGCATATGTGACAAGATGCTAACACAAGGGAGGTGTATTGACTGAAAATGTGGCTATTTGCTAAGTGACATGAATTTGAAGGCTGGCTTTGCTGTTATTTACTAAATAAATGAAGTTAATGGGTGAAGAGGAATTCTGGGCGTATGACAGGCATTAAAGGTTGTGAAGCGGTTTAATGCCTTTGTTAAGGGATATTTTAAGAAATATTAAAAACTAGATCAATATAAAAAAGTAAAGTTTTTTTTTCTGAACGGTTTTCTTATCTTTATTTGAGCTACCTGATGTCAGTTTTGGTCACATGATGGTGAGTACTCTATTTTATTCAATAGCAGCAAATTAATGCATGCACATATAGTTGACACTAGTTGAAATTATTCATGAAAGATGCAGTAATGTAATGTCATGTGTGAGCCTCACTATGAATATTCTTCTTTTTTGTTAAAAGGTCAGTTTGTTTTTTCACTCTGAGAATGGAACAGAAATACATATGACTGTATGCTCTTTCCAAACCATCTTCGAGGGCTAGAGGTGTCTTATTTTTACCCATGCCTCGTTGCATATCTGCTTTAGCAAATAATATATAGAAACTGGGAAGACAAATTATGTCGTGAAGTTACATTAACAAAAATGAAACTAGTTCTCATGGCACATATATCAATGACTCTTAAACAGTTAAAAATAGAGTTTGCATTGCAAGTCCCACCTACCTTTTTTCTTTTGTGTTTGTTTGTTTTGGAAAGTTCTTTTTCCTAGAGAAATTGGTACATCCCATTCTTGAAATTATTTTGTTCAGACATTTTAAAAATTAGTGAGTCTGAATAATTAGGGAATGATAGGAGCAGGAGCCTAGTCCCACTGGAATATAGAGTTATTCTCACTATTGTGCGTGCTTTCACACTCTCTGGCCCAGTGATGACAGTGGAATCATTTCCAAAGGAGAGTTTGTGGGAGACCCACATCAGAATATCTCAGAGCTCAGTGAATTGGCACATTCCTGAGGGTAGGAAGCCCCTGTCCAAATCCTTTCCCCCTCTAGCAGAGGAGGGAATTGAATGTGAGTCTCCTACTTTCCAGATGAGTGATGTAATCACTCAGTTATAAGGTAACCATCACCTCTCATCCTCCCTCCACTCTATTTTGTGTGGAATGAAGTAAACACCCACCTCATTCTTGCAAGAAATGACTTAATCTGCCTGGTTCCAGGAGGATTCCTGATCTTGGACCCATAGCAGAGATAGGTGCCTCCCTGAAGCCTGGAAATAAGCATCTTTCTCTATGAGAGGGGTAGGATTTAGGAAACATTCCTTCCACTCACATCTCTCATTGTCCAGCTCAGAAAGCTCCCCTTATAGTGTACTGTCATTGGTGGGTCATGTGGTTATGTGCCTAACTCTACCTTTTCATTGAATAGGGAGCGTGAAAACTTAATTTAGTCTTCGGACATCACAAGTTTGTTCTTGTGATTGTCTGGGTACCTACAAGCTAGGTGTTGTGATACTGGATGTTGTAATGTATACATCCCTGTGTGGATCCATGCTGAAGTGACAGTTTGCAAGCTGATGAAGCTTCAGTCACATTTATGACAGTGTTTTAGTAGCACAGCATTTAATGTGGAGCTAAAATACATTACAACAGCCTCTGGTGCCGTTCTGTATCATATTATTATTATTACTATAGACATTTTGGTGTGGTTGGTGGTCTGAAAATAACAAGGCCCTGTGCCAAGGAACTTAGGGTATGTCTACACTACAGCGCTATTTCGAGTTAATGCATCTAGACTCAAAAACTAATTTGAAATAGTGTTTTGCTATTTTGCTATTTCGAAATAGAGCGTCCACATTGATTGGATGCTGGATCGTATTAAAGGGCAGCTGAAACTGGTTCCAGCAGGGCAACAGGTCAGTAGTTGCTTTGTGTGGCTGCTGTCTGAGGCTTGTGCTTAAAGGGATGCCCCGGACAGCTGATTCTCAGCTTTCCCACTTGCTTGCCTACCTCGCCGAGTGACAGCAAAGTGTTTTCCTTTCTGCCTGCTTCGGTCACTCTCCTTTGGGACACCGTTGCAGTCGGCACCATGGAGCCAAAGCCACCCCTGGGTACTCTGGTGCTCATGCTGAACGTGTTGCTACAAGCCTGCCAGCAATTGCTGGAGGCTGCCTGGCACCTTCTGCTGCAGGCCAGCCCCCTGGCCCTCCCCCTGCCCCACCTAGGGGCCCTGGAGGAGTGGCACCCAGATGCCAGCATGCCCCGCCGCATCTGGCGTCTGGACACCAGCAGTGACTGGTGGGACCACATCGTCCTGGAGTGTTGGGGAGACCAACAGTGGACCCAGAACTTCAGGATGAAGAAGGACACCTTCTTGGAGCTCTGCAGCGACAGAACACATGCATGAGGCCCGCCATTCCCCTCCACAAGTGGATGGCCATCGCCTTCTGGAAGATCTCCACGCCGGATAGCTTCCGATAGGTTGGGAACCAGTTAGGCGTGGGGCGATCCACCGTCAAAGCGGTGCTCATGCAGGTACGGCACTCACCAGCCACTGGGCCAGGATGGGGGGCTGCAAAGAGGATGTGGGCTGCCCCAGGGAAAACGGGGGGGGAGGTGGTGTAAGTGCCCTCCCCGGGAGGGGTCAGTCCACCCCGGCCACACTACAGACTGCCCACGGTGGCCAGGATCTCAGCGGGGGTTGCTCCTGGGAGTGGGGCAATGGTGGGGAACGAACACTCCCAGCCACCCGGGTGCCCCAGTGACCCTCGGTTTTGTGTGTCTCTCTGCAGGTGATCAACAGGGTGCTGCTCCATGGAGTCGTCCATCTCACCACCCTGGACGCAGTCATCCAGAGGTTCAGCGCCCTCGGCTTCACCAACTGTGGGATGGCAATCGACGGGACACACATCCCCATCCGTGCCCCGGGACACCAGACCTCCCTCTTCATCAACAGAAAGGGGTACTTCTCAGTGATCCTGCAGGCTGTGTGTGACCACCAGGGCCAGTTTATGGACATCAGTGTGGGCTGGTCTGGCAAGACACACGACGCGCGGGGGTACTGGAACTCTTCCATGTGCCAGAGGCTGCACAGTGGAACTTTCTTCCCTGACCTCCCCATCAGGGTCAGGGATGTGGACATGCCAATGTGCCTGGTGGGGGATGCAGCCTATCCCCTACAGCCCAGGCTGATGAAGCCCTACATGGGACACCTCAGCCTCTCCCGGCTCAGCAAGGCCCGCATTGTGGTCGAGGGGGCCTTCAGCTGACTGAAAGCACAGTTTAGGTGCCTCCTCACCCACCTTGACCTTTCCCAGCACAATATTCTGAATGTGGGGGCAGCGTGCTGTGTGCGCCATAATTTGTGAGATTGGAAGAGGGAGGCTTTCCTGCCAGCCTGGATGGCAGAGGCTGACCACATGGCTGGCCACTACGGTCAGCCCCGCACCAGCGGGGGGCCGTCCGGATCCGGGAAGCCCTGCGGGAGAGCTTCTGGTGGAGGAGGAGGACTGACCTCTCCCTGCATGCCCCACTGGGGCCTTCTTCCACCCTACCCCCTTCCCCTTTTCCCTCCCTACCTACTGTCAAATAAAGACACCTGTTTTTCAAACAAAAACATCTTTTTATTTTACATAACTGGGGTGGGGGGAGGGAGGAAGGAGTGTGGGAGAGCGGAGGGGGAAACCTGGGACAAGGAAGCTGGAAGGGGAGGGAAGGGAGGAAGGGAAAGGAAAGCTCAGGGGTGGGGGAGGGGAAGCTCAGGGTTAGGGGTACTGCTGGCTCTCCCGTCTCGCAGCACTGTGGGTGCGGGGGCGTCGGAGGAGAGTGGGTGTGGAGGGTGGGGCAGGAGGGATGGGGTGTGCGGAAGAAGCGGGAGGGTGAGTAAGGGTGGGGGAGGAGCGATAGCTGGGGTGGCTGCAGGGGCTGGAGCAGCAGGAGGCAGCAATTGGTCCGCCAAGGCCTGCAGGTGCTCGCGGAGGGCATGGCCCTGCTCCCAGAGCTCCCTCAGGCTCCCCCGCCACAGCTGCAGGTCCTCTTGCACCACTACTCCTGTCTGTGGTCCTGCAGTCCCTGCAACTACAGCTGCTGCCTCTGGAACTCCTCTTGGTTGCAGGTGCACCTGCTGGCCCGGGTGCAGGTGGAGGGTCCAGGCGGGGTGGTGCGTCCTGCACTCGCAGGTGCTGCGGCTGTGGTGAAACAAGAGAAGTGGTCAGTTCTCCTTGGGGACACAGTGGGTGAAACCCAGCCCCCACCCTTGCAAGGTGAGGACGGCAGGTGTCTGCATCATCACATCCTGCTATCCCCGGGAACTCGTGGAGCAGACGAGTTTTCCTGGTGGTGCCCAGAGTGGCCACCAGGGCTCCCTGGGAAGGGCTGAAGGCCAGCTAATTTGAAATAAGTGTCTACACAGCACTTATTTCGAATTAGCTATTTCGAATTAGGCATTATTCCTCGTAGAACGAGGTTTACCTAGTTTGAAATAAGCGCTCTGCTATTTCAAATTAATTTCAAAATAGCAGTTTGTATGTGTAGACAGCTATTACAGTTAATTCAAAATAGGGGCTCTTATTTCGAATTAACTCTGTAGTGTAGACATTATCTCATTAAGAATGTAAGGGTATCTTTACTATAAACATTAATACATCCAGTGGGGAAGGGGAAAAAGGGAAGATGAAAGAAAAAGAAAGGTGAAACTCTGAAATGTATTTATTTCATGTATACCTTGGGAACCTTGGCAGGCACTTGTGAGGCCTGATGCAAAGATCGAAGCAGTCATTGCAAGTCTTTCCACTGACTTCTGTAGACAAGGTGGGATTTGCAGAGTGGGAAAACTTGATGCTTAGGGAAAAGTAGGTTCTTACAGGAGAAGGCTATGTGAAAATTAAATGGTGTTACAGCAGAGATCTCAAAGTATTAAGAAGAGACGGGGTAGAAGGCAGGATAGAAGAAATACAATGTACATAGAGGTAGAAAGATAGAGCTTTGAAATTTTTTTAGTATTATTCTTATTCTTATAAAGATAGCTAAATACATTTGCATCCTGTGATGTTTCTTTGAAAGTCTGTGATGATAACACCTTTCATCTCTAGTCACTCTCAGCTAATTTTCTTTCTTCTCTTTCCTTTTCCTTTTCCCTTTCCTTATTATTCTCACTCATGATAAGCTTAGGTAGCATTAATGCAGCTTTATTTGCTAACAGGAAGAAGATTGCCCCATAAAATAACTGATGTGCCCACATGCCAGCTCTAATTATAGATTTGATATTCATAATTTTAATGTTATGATACATTGGTAAGTATAAATACACACTTTAAGTATGAAAACTGCCTTGAAGCATCTATGAAGAACACACAGCTAGAATTAATTTGAACGAGTAACTGCATATCAAAATTACCCTATGAAGCATATTTGCAAAAGCAAAGACATTGATTCTAAAACCAAAAGTATCAATTGCACATATGCCACATGTCTCTAACATCTATGGGCTAGGTCCTCAGCTGTTTACAGATTTCTAGCTCTATAATCAAAGGAAGTTTTTCAAATGTTTGTCTTTTTTCCCTTCTCCCCAGAACTATTCTGTACTTGATATAAGACCACCACCTACAGTCATCACATTGAACAATGCCATGTACTGGCAAGATTTTGAAGAGACTTGTGTCTATGAGTGTCTGGATGGGAAAGACTGCCAGAGTTTTTTCTGCTGTTATGAAGAATGTAAATCTGGCTCATGGAGGAGAGGACGGATTCACATAGACATCTTAGAACTGGACTCCTATTCCAGGGTCTTTTTTCCAACATCGTTCCTGCTGTTTAACCTGGTCTATTGGGTTGGATACCTCTATCTTTAAGTTTATCGGTAGTGGTGAAGACTACTGTTTCACATTTCTTGGGGATGGCGAATATGAAAAAGTGAAGGAGGACATGGTCAGTTTCATCTCAAATTATACAGGCCACGTTACTTTTGTCATCACAAAATCAATGAAGGATTTTAATATATAGTTGCCTGAAAAAGAAAAAACCTTGAACAATTCTCCTGACTGCTATTCATTTTAAGTACAAGATTCTTACTAAATTCAGCTGAATTTGTACTGTAAGCAATGTTTATTAATTCTTATATAATGGACCTTTACTATTCTCCCTTGGCATAGAAAGCTAGACAGCATTCAAGCAAGAAACAAAGGTCAAACATCTGATGTGGGTTCTTCAGTCTTATGTCTCTTTCAGTTTCCCCAAGTCCCCAGGGCTCAAAGCAACTCCCACAGGCACTGGTTAGCCATGATGTCTAAGCTCATACCAATGCAGGCCACATTTTTTTATTGAGACCCATTCCACAGGTGTTGGGAGATCTTGTCTTGACTGTCTCTTTGCATGGGACAAATCTCAAACCATGCAAGCGCCCTTCTGTTGCAAAGCTATGGGATGCATGGGCTTAGCCCTCCCTTTCTGTACACATTGGTTCTAATTTGAGGTGAAAAGCTGATTTATAAGACAGGCAATGTCTTTGACTTTTTCAAACTCTGAGCTATCTCTGAAGTAGCTGCAACTAATAAGCATTTAGATCTTAAAAAAAAAACTGACCAAGCATAACAGAATGGCATATGATTTCTGGAATAGTTTACTTGAAACTGGACAGGACTTCTGCTTGTTTGTGATATTGTAGCAGACTATACATGATAGGACATATGTAAGATTCACTACTTAATAGCAGTAGGGGTATGTGATTTTCTGCAGATTACAATTTAATGCAAAGTTCAGCCATGCATTTTTCTTCTCCTCCCTTGCTCCTTTAAATTACTTTACAGAGTGAAGGACAAACAAGTATATTCTTTTCCTATAGAATTAAATCTTGAAGTCCTTAATTACAGAAGACTCCAATGAGAGTCTTGTCTGAGTTAAGCACTGAAAAAAATTGATCTATGTAATTCAGTATAGGAGATGGCAAGTTTTAACACTGGGTGTAAATCAAAACAGTTATTGGATCAGAAAAGACTAGGGTTGGTTTTTTTTTAAATAACCAAATAGATTTTAACTTGGAAAAGCATTTTGTATTTTTGGAACATGTTTCACAAGTTAAATTATTAAGAATTGTCCATTTTGCAACATTTTAAAATATTTCTACACTGTTAAAAACCTCTTACGTTTTCAGCAAATGCTCAGTAATTTATTAAAACAACAAAAAAAACTTAACATTCTCCACCAAAAACCAAGTAGCAATGAGTTCTCTGTGCTCGTTAGTTGAAAATAGCCACATCAAGCAAGAAGAGTGTGTTAGATTAAAACGTAAGTCTGCCTCGTGTGTATTTGAAAATAATGTACTGTACGTTATATCTGAAGAACAATTCCTTCTGTCCTCAAATGGAAACATATATAAAATCCCATAAACATACAAGGACTAATAGCAGAGTTAGGCTTGCCAAAGATGAGGGGGAACTGGGAAGGGCAAAGACCAGTGATTCAAAGGTAACTGGGACTCCTTGCTGCTGCCACTGCTGCAATAGCAGTAACAGAGTCCAAGAACCCCAAGTCCTTTAAATCACCACTAAGATGCCGTGTGCTCTGTGCGGCACAGCGGTCTGGCTGCCCCAGCCATGTCCCTTCTGCCTGAGGCCCCGTCCCTTCTGGGAGTGTGCAGCCATCCTCTCCGTGCACCTTATCTAGGGGCCTGCAGAGGCTGTTGTCTCCCCTGGTAACTACATGGAACCGTAATTTAGTCAGGTTCTTGGAAACACCAATGAATCTCACTGCTGCTTCTTCTGTCTTTGCAGAGTGTTTTTAATTAAGTAAATAGCTCACAAGAAACCTAAAAATCGTTTTTTCAACATATTTCTAGTATCATAAAAATATAGCCAAGACAAAGGATAAATTGAAAAAAGAAGCTGGATCTAGAAAAACTCTTGCATGTTTGGCAAATCTGAAGCAGAAGTACTAAAAAAGTAATCGTCTCCTTTGAAGAGAAAAGGAAATGGGGTGGGTTTTTTTGGCCAGATCAGGACCTCATTTTAGTGAAGTCTATCCTAACTCCTACCATAAATTAAAACAAACACTCATCTTCCCCAAATATCAACATATTCATAATGAAACCACATTTCCTTTGTAGCTCACTGTCATTCTGTAAACTTTCTGTGCGCTGGTGTGGTATTGTGGGTTCCCTGCATTGGATTTCAGCTATTGTCTAAGCAATATGGGTGGTGGACTTACAAAGCGAGATAAAGCTAAATATTCAGGGCTAAAACCAAGTAAATAGATTCTCTGATAAGAGCCACCCACAATAAGCCTAAAAAAGAGAACAGATCCCGTTATCTTCTGCACCCTGAACATGGTAACCCTCTGCACACAAACACCAATTGACTTCAGCGGGAGTGTTCTAGACAAAGAGGGCTGCTTGCATCATTAGACCTTTGATTAATAACATTTTATTTATTAAGCAGTTATATACTTAGATGGATTTTCTTAGACTCAGTGGAAATGGAATATTCCATTTTTAGACTATGCAGTACCGTGATTGGACTTTACTCATTACCTTGGTAATACTGAGTTCTGCCTTGCATGCAGGGTACTGAACTAGAAGTCCTCTGGATGTCCCTTCCACTCCCATGCTTCTATGATTTCTCCCCAACTCAGCTAAAAGCACACACAGTACTCTCAGGTCCTCCCTTGGAAGATTAATTCTTTTAGGAGTCTGATTATATTGCCTCTCTTTTATAAGTATTGACACAAACAGATGGTGAGAATTTTAAACACCCTGCTCATCCACATCCTGTACAATAGCGAAGTGCCAGACCAAAATTTAGCCTCTGTATTGCTGAAGGTAAACTTCCATAGCTATTCTTGGACAACTGCAAACCTGACAGCATGTGGGTACCCACACACCCATCTTTCCCCCAGTCCAGCATGACTGCAGCAAAATACCACCTGCCACAAATGTATGTCTATCTTCCTTAGCTTTCTAGAACTGCAGTTTCACAGCTCCAGTAGTGATATACTGAAACCAGTCACATAATTTCAATACACACGGAACAAGAACATGCAGTTGTATCCTTCACTTGCTACTCCTCTTATCTATTGAGGGCTGTGTGAAATGTGTCCTCTTGAACTGGGTTATTCTGCTGTCACTAATTTGGTCCTTTGAGCTTCAGTGCAGTAAACTGTACATAAAGGAGGCAGCTGAGAGACACTAGGTTCTTGGAGAGTGTTTTTATAGTCATTGCCCCTGGAACTGTTGCTAGTTTCCATGACTTACTCTGTCTGTTTCAGTGCTTAATATTCTGGTGGCAGTTAAGACACAGTTGACCTAGGGCAAAATCGGACGAAGTCGGGCTCAGCATAATTCAAAATGTAAATATTTGCATCATGCCCGTTTCCTATTTATAGTCCCAGAGAATATTTATATTCCCTATCCACACCCTTGCTAATGTGATATGAAAATCATATTCTACCCATGGTTTTTTCAGCTTCTTTATGAGGGAGAAAGAAGCTCAAAACATTTCTGGGGTGTCACAACACAAATTTAACACTCTACTTTTTAGTTAGCTTTGTTGCAGGCATTAACTTATTCATGTTTTTGCGATGCAAAAATTTGAAAGGCAAAAGAACTAATGGCACTGATTCACATTTACCCAGCTTCAGTTCTGAGCAATAACATTTACGTTGCCATACTGAATAAAAAGGTTTTAAATATGAATGGCCAATAAAAACAATGCTTCTACATTTCTCTGTGAAAAATCAATAGACAACCTGTGTTGAGATAGCTTGTTAAAATAACCACCAAAGTTCTTTGTCCTTTTGCTTCATTACCCTTTGAGATAATACATTTTACGCACCAAGAAGAGAATGTATAATAACAACACCTTTTATCTACTGCAGATTTACTTCAACCAGAATTTAAGAAGTGTTTTATTGCATTAAGGGGAGCACTTTCAGCATTTGAAACTTTATAAAAACACTCCAGCTCAGTACAAAAGCTATTACTTCTTGGTTATTCCAACTTTGAAAGCTAATGTACAGCAACCTCCTTGGTTTTGGTTTTCTCTTAGAAAACAGATATGTTTGATCATTTTTTCTGGATAAGTTTATTTTACTCCAGGAACTAAACTACCATTTGTAGGACTTAGGGAGGTAAAAGGTTAACCAGTTAATTGGTAAGTCTTATCCTTAAAGGGTGAGGCTTAGTGGTTCCGGTTAATCAGTAGGGCCCCCTGCCACAGGTTATATG